GAGGCAGTTGGGTGTGTGAGGCAGGACTTTAAAAAGAGTCTGGGGCTAGTGATAGAAAGGTAGCAGTGAACCAGGCAAGGTGGCACACACCTGTAATCCCAGCACTCTGGTAGTCTAAGGGGCAAGGATTATTGCAAATTCGAGCCCAGATCACATAATTTATTATATATATATTTTGTCTGTGACAGGGTTTATGTAGTTGAGGCTGGCCTTGAGCACACTTATGTAGCCAAGGCTATTTTCAAACTCACGGGCATCCCCTGTCGCAGCCTCCGCAGTGCTAGGATTATAGGCATGGGTCACCACACCTGGTCCAACCTACCCAATTTAGCAACTTGATGAGACCCTGTCTTTAAAGAAGAAAAGGAAAGAAAAGAAAAAAAAAAAAAAAAAGGGAAGAAGGAGGTAAGGGATGTAGCTCAGTGTGAAGACCTGGAGTTCACTTCTTAGTCACACACACCACACACACACACACACACACACACACACACACTGAAAGAGAAAGAAGATTTGCCATGGGACTGATGGAGTTCATGGAAGAACAAGTGTGGATGGGGAGCAGAGGGCCCAGGGCTTGCTGGCCTTGCACATCTCAGTCAGAGAGACAAGAAAAGGTGGTGTAACAGCAAGGTTGCAGGGGTTACATCTTCTGCTTAGGCATGGTCACACTTTTCTGGTAGCTGTACTCTATATGGGCTGAGTCATAGACATTAGACAAGTGCTGTAGTACTGAGCTATATCACCAGTCCCCTCAACCCACCCCTTTTTTTTGTCTTTTTGAGACAGGGTTTCACTTTGTAGCCCAGGCTGGCCTCAAACTTGCAGCTATCCTCCTGCCTCAGCCTCCTGAGTGCTGGGGTTTATAGGCATGTACCACCATGCCTGGCCACTAGTCCCTTTTTAAAAGTTTATTTAATTTTTTATTTTGAGACAGGTCTTGCTATGCAGTTCAGGCTGACCTTCAACTCACTGTGAGCCAGGCGTGGTGGCGCAGGCCTATAATTCCAGCACTAGGGAGGCTGAGGCAGGAGGATCATTGTGAGTTCGAGGCTAGCCTGGGCTACAAAGTGAGCTCAAGGCCAGCCTGAACTGCATAGTGAGACCCTGTCTCAAAAAGACAAAAAAACAAAAAACAAAAAAAGATAAAAAACAAAACTCACTGTGTAACCCAGGCTGACTTCTTACTCGCAGCAATCCTACTGCCTCAGCTTCCTAAGTGTTGGAATTACAGGCCGGTGCCATTATGACCAGTTTAAATTTTATTTTGAGGCAGAGTATTGCTAAATTGCTAGGCTGGCCTGTTAGAGCTGTCACTGTTGTCTTCTTCTCCTCCTCCCACTTTTCTCCTTCTTCTTTTCTTGTGGTACTGGGGTCTTCACACTGAGCTATATCCCCAAACATTTCATTGTTTGTTTAACTTTCAGTCAGGGTAATTTAGCTAAATAGCTAAATGCCCAGGCTTGGCTCACACTTACAAGCCCCCTGCCTCAGCCTCCCAGAGAGCAGGGATTATAGGCACATACCCACTACACCCAGTGCACTTGTTAGGGGCTTAAAGGTTCATTATTGCTTATAGACTGATGGGTGGGTTGTTCCCTCTTAGGAGGTGGGTGAGGGTGACAAAGTCTATGAACACTGGGACTTCTGTGAGAACAACTTCTGCCTATGCCTTTGCCTGACAACAGCAGGATAAATGTTATCTGTGTCAGAGTGGCAAACTAGAACAAGGTCATGGGCCATGGGAGTGGAGTGTCCTTACTGTCTGGACAGAGTTGTTTGCACTGTTCATGAGGGTGTTTCCTGACTCTGGTATGGCTGTGCTTTTCACCTGTTATGTGGGAGCTTCCCACAGCAAAAGTGGGGAGGAGGGTGTCTTCTTCTTCATTGGAGCCCAATGCCTTGGGAGCATGGCCTCTCTTCAAGGAATGGTCACTGATGATGAATAATTTCCACCACAGTTCACATTATGTATCTCATATAGTAATGGTGGGGATTCCTGTCACTACCATCTCTGGGGCTGGGCCTCAGGATCCATGAAATAACTGAATTATCTAAGAGGCTCCACATGGGTCCCTGAGAGGGTACAAGATCCACGGATAACCACTAGGCATGGTGGCGCACGCCTGTAATCCCAGCACTCGGTAGGCTGAGGCAGGAAGATCATTGTGAGTTTGAGGCCAGCCTGGGCTACAAAGTGAGCTCAAAGCCAGCCTGACACAAGTCCCGGGGGAAATTTTCATCAGGACTGCCATTCTCTACTGAAGGTTCACTCTCTCCCATGCGGCATGCCCACCATCCATGGTGGTTGTGTTTTACAGAGCCAGCCAACTGGTCAGGGTGAGATTATAAGATTAACAGGCAATTTCACACTGTTGATGGTGTGTGTTTATAGTTGGACTGTTTTACTGAGTGTTTATTACAGTTGGAGTCTGTAGGGTAAGGGATGATCACTGTATCCATTAGCTATATAATTCACTTCATTAATAATTTGCGTTTTTTTCACTATATTATCTGTATTTTTATTTATACATTTATTTTTTGGTGCTAGGATGGAACCCAGGCCTGGCACATGCCAAGCACACTACCACTGAGTTATACTCTTGGCCCAATATTTGTATACTCATTTCACATCCGTGATTTCTCATAATAACCCTATCATGCAGGGTCTCTTAGCATCCCTACTTTATAGATAAACTGAAGCTTAAATAGGGAAACAGCTCACTTGTGACAGGTAGGAGGCACCAGCGTTAGAATAGCAACCCAAGTCCCTGTCTTGCTGGTGGGAGGATAGTTGACCTATTATCTTTGAAACTCTGTACTTTTTTTTTTTTTTTTTAAAGAGGAGCGTGGAGGGGACTCCAGTGAAGAAGGTAGTAATGGTTAAGGGCTTAGAATTGAACAGATCTGGATTCGAATCCTAATTCCAGCACTTCCTGGTTATAGGATTTTTTTTGGCAGACGCATTTCCCCTCCCAGAGCCTTATTTTCTTAATCTGTAAATAGGGATAACAATAGTAACTTCCCTTAAGGGATTTTGTGAGGATAAAATGAGAAGATGCCCCTGACAATGCTTGGCCAAGCGCCTGGCACATTGTGAGCACTCGGAATCAGGAGCTGTTATTCTAACAATGATGATGATTATTGCTGGACCGCACTGCTCCCAGAGGGTTACAATATCCGTGGGGGAGCTGCACTGTCCGTAGGCAAGGTTACATAATTCCCCAAGGGGGCGATTCTTCCCCTGAGGCCTTGGTCTCCCCAAGGAGGGGGCCTGAGTCTTTCTGAGGAGCTGGGCTAAGGCGGAACCCAGCAATGCCTGAAGCACCCAGAGCCTGGTCCCTGCAGGCCAGGCCGTCCCTCCCCTTGGCTTGTCAGTCTCTCTCGGTCCATCTACTGTACTGGGTTTGTGTCCCTCATCATCCCCTACTCTCTTTCGGTAACTCAAGAGTCATTCTTGAGACTCTGTCTTAGCTCTGCCTGTGAATCTCGCTTCTATTTGCCGAGTAGACTCGGCTGGCAGCTCCTTGCATCCATTTGATCAGCACTCCGATTTCCTGTTTCCCGGAGCCTCAGGCTCCATCAATCCCTCTCAGCTGCAGCCGAGAACAGAGACTTAACACTTCCCCTGCGCTCCTGCCTTAAGTCTTAAGCCTAGTCTTCCTCTGCCCTGGGGACCTCCAGCCCCCCTGGAAGGACATTTGTTCAGACTTAGGTCGCCTCCTCGCATCCTGGCCCTACCTCCGGAACCCCCTGCCCTAGTGGTGGAGGTGGGGGTATCTCCGGCGCCCGCTGCTTCTCCAGGACAGCTGCAGCCTAGGGATGGTGGTGGTGGCTCCCGAATGCATTCTCTCAGGTCACTTCCTCCCCAGCTGTACTGAGGCTATCAGGAAAGCCAAGACCCCATCCCCACAGAAGCGGAGGCTACAACCGCCTCCCCGTTTCCGTTACTGGGAAATGCTTCCCACCCATTCCACCCCACCCCTGGACAGCTGCCCCCATTCAGGATCTTGGTGGTGGTAGGGTAAGGCCAGTCTGAGAAATGCTGTGGTCTTGATCACCCTCCAAGATCCTGACTACGCCCCCCTGCAGATAAGATTCTGCCTCCTCCCCAAACGTCCGTGCCCTTCCTCGCAAAAGTTTCTGACCCCACTCAGAGGGTATCTGCCTCCCTACACCCTTTACTCAGGTTCCCAAAGGAAACTCTGGATCCCTCGGTGGGCAGAAAAGGAGGGGAGGGGCAGGTAGCAAATGCTGAGGACTTAAGTTATCTCCAGACTTGGAGCCTCCGAGAAAGGTCGTGACCCCTAGGACCCCGTCCCCTCTTGGCCCTCTCCCTCCTCTCTCCCCCGCCGCGCGGCCCCTTTAAGCCCAGAGCCGGCGGGTCCTCAGTGGCTGCGAGCCGGCAAGCGTGTGTGTGAGTGCGCTGGGAGGGGGCGGGCGCAGTGTCTCCATGGCGACGCGGCGGTGACGTCGCCGGCCGGGGGGCGTGGGCGTCCCGGCCCCGGAGTGCGATATTAACCCGGGAGGCGGCGGCGGGGAGGGGAGAGGCTCTGAGAGGCGAGGCCGGGTGAGGCGGAGAGGGCGGCCCGTCGGGCGCGGGACGGGACTGGGCAGCGCGGGCGCCGGGAGCCGCGGCCCGAAGTCGGGGCGCCTCGCCCCGGGCCCCCCAGCATGAAGACCCCGGCGGACACAGGTGGGGGCGGGGGCCGCACGTGTGGGGGACTTGTTGCCCCGGGAAACCGGGAGGAGAAACTTTGGGGGGGGGCCGAAGGGGTCCTGGGTAGCCCGAGTGATCCCTAGTTCTAGGGACCCCCAAGCACTCGAGACCTGTTGCTTCTCGCGGCGCGAGCGGGGGTGCTGCCTGGGACCCCCAGCTCATGGCTCCGGTTGGAGTGGTGTGGGTGCTGCGGGTCCTGGTCTCCTCTCCTTGTCCGGACCTCGAAAGGTGGGCTCTCTCTCACTCCCGGGATCACGAGAGTGGTAGGGTCCCTCCCTGCCGCTCTGTCACGTTGCACTCTGGGGGCCGGGACGTGTGCGGGGCGGGGGGGCCTGTCCAGGGGGCCCGCTGTCCCCGGTTCCGCGCTGCGCGGTCTGGACCGTGACCTTCACGGCAGCGCGTGCCCCGCACCGATTTAGAGGGGGATATGGGACAATCTGTAGGAGTGGGTGAATGGGGAACCTGGGACTCGGGGTCCGGGCTGCGCCGCCCCTCCCCCGCCTGTCTCCGCCGGCTCCTCGCTCCCCCGCCCGCACAGAGTCGCAAAGTTCCAAAGCGCAGCCCGAACGTTCGAAAAAGGAACTTTTTGTTTCCGACCTTAGAACGCGCGGCTTTAAGGTGGCTCCAGGGAGACCTGGGTACCTTCCTCCCGCGCCGCCAGAGGCGCGGGGTTGAGGAGCGTGGGGAGGGGGAGGCACGCCGAGACTACCCCCCTCATTCCCCCTCCCGGATCCAGCTCTTCTCTTTCTGTGGGTCGTCTTTTCCCTCCGCTTCTCATCCCCGCCAACTTGCTCCTCCTTAAGGGGCCAAGGTTCCCCTCCCCCCTTGGTCGGCGGGCGGGGGGCAGCGGGATTAACCCCCCCTCCCACTCGGACTTTTCCCCCTCCCCTCTCCCGCCGCCCCCGGGCTCGCGCGGGCTGGACTTTGCGCCGGAGCGCGCGGGGGGAGGGGTCCTAGCCGCCCCCTGCCCGTCTACCCTGTCGGAATCCGGCCCGGGGCGGGACGGGGGAGGGGGAAGGGGGCCGGGCGCCGCTGTTCAAACTTGTTTCCTTCCCCCGGCGGCAGCCGCGGCTGGGACTCCTGTGTGCGGGTGTGTGCCCCGACTGGCCTACCCCACCCCACCCCACCCCACCCCACCCCAGCCCAGCCCCTGTTCGGCGGGTGGGGGCGGCTCTTAAAGGGCTCCGAGCAGGACTCCGGTGTCTGGGGATTGGGGCGGAGGAGGGGTACTCGGGTGGGCAGGGGTGCTAAGTGCTGTAGGGTCAGTCACGTGCATCGCACAGACTCCCGGGCTCCCATAGGCTCCTGGGCCGCTCAGCCCTGGGGGCAGCAGGAGCCTACCCTCCCCGGGGGAGGGGTCAGAGGTGCCCCGCCTCATCTTCCCTTCCAGCTACGGGCCTTGGCCCGAGCAGACCGGCTAGGCTGCTCCCCTAACCCCGTCTGGGGTCGCAGTTTGTGTGTGTGTGTGTGTATGTGTGTGTGTGTGTGTGTTCGTTCGTTCGTGTTCTCTGGTTGGGGGATCGAGGAGGGGATGGAGTGGAAGGACCTCGGAAAGGCCTCCAGATCCGCCTGTCTTTCCGTCTGCCGGCAGCTATACGCCCCTCCATCCGATCCTCCATCCCGGCCCCTCTCTTCTCTGCCGTGGCTGTTTCCCACTTCCTGTTTTCTTCCCGGCTCTGGCGCCATCGAGGGCCGCTTGCAGTGGGGGAGGTGATGGGGCCCCCATGGAGGCCAGCATGTTCTTCCTCTACCACCATCTCTCCCTTCCAACACCCAAAGTCTCTTTTAAAAAGTTTGGGCAGTTATGTGAAGTTGGGGGGTTCCCAGGAGTTGTGCCCCCACCCAGGCCTGCGCTGTCTGAGAGAATCCCTACTGCACCTCTGTAGGATCCAGGTGTGCCCTCTGGGACCCAGCCATCCCAAGCCCTTCCTGTCTGTCTGCTGCCACCTCTACACCCTCCCTGCATTTCCTGAAACCCTGTCTCAGTACAGCTGCTCTCCTTCTACCTGCAGCACTGGTCGCTGCTGTAGAGGTCCTGCACCCCCCAGGCTTTCTTAGTGCAAGGCTGGTGTTTCCCTGATATAAGCACGTGGATTCATACACAACACACACTCACACATGCTCCCCTTGCCCGTGCCTGGCTCCTGGCTCCAAGGCCTGGGGAACAGAGCCCCATTGAGACACCCTGACGTCACCCCCCTTTATGCCCCCCCCCAAAGCCAGGAACAGGCCCTCGTGTATACTGTGTCCGATGAGGGAAGCTGTCTTTGGGGTGGGCCTGGGTGTGGGTAAGGGTCCCTACCAAGAGTGGTAGCCACTGTCCAGGCCCTGAGGGGTGTTGCTCAGGGCGGGAGGTTAACAAGGGGGCCTGGGACAGCTCCCAGAACGTGGCTTGAGGCCTTTCCAGAGCCCCCCCCACCTCCTTTCCGAGTTCCCTTTGTGTTGGATGTAGTCTCTCTCACTCCCTCTCTTCTGCAAAGTTTATTTTTAGCCTCCTGCTCCCCCGCTCCCAGGACTGTCGCTGCACACGTTGCCTGGTTACGGGGACATGGAGGCTGGGGCGGGTGGGCTGGGAAGGGTGGCTTTAATTTTGGGGGGAGGGTGGAAGTCAGTACACCCCTCCACCCCCAGACTGATGTCTCAGGGGCTTCAGCCCCCCTCCTTGGTCTGGGATCCAGATTGGGGCTAAAGTGGGAGTAGCATGGAGCTTGTTTCCCTGAGAGGTGCCAGGAGCCTTTTTGAGGGGGTTCCAGGATACATGCAGCTTGTAGCTTGGTTACCTGGGTTCCTAAAGACCTTTGGGCTCCCAAAGACCTCTTGTCCCCAAGGGAGACCCTGGATGTTCTTTTTCTCAAGCAAGAGGAGGGTAATGGATGAGCGCCTGAATTCTTATGAGGCATGGGACCATGGATGCCTGGGTTCCTGGAAGGGATGGTTAGGGGCTGTCACTGCCAAAAGGAGCAGGGCTGCTAGTGCAGGACTCTGGACCTGAACAGCTGGAGGTCATATTCCTGGAACCCTGGGGGCTGCTCTGAGGCCTGGATTTCTGCATGGGGCAGGGACTAGGTGGGGAATTTGTACTGACCTTCCCGGATTCGCTGGGGCTAGGGGCCAGGTGTCTGAGTCCATGCAGGGCACAGTGATCTCTGCATTTAGAGGGAATAGCCCTAGTGGGAGCAGGGATCTATCTACCTGATCTCTGATCAGGAATTACTGATCAGTGTTCCCTAGGGGAAGGATCCCCTGTTGGATTCCAGACTAGGGTGGAGTCACTGGGGAAGCTCAGTCTTGCTCAGAAGCCTGGTTGGTACCTGCTTGAGCTGGGGCCAACGAAGGGAAACTGACCCCTGCAGCCTGATTGGGCCTTGGGACCCTATCCATCTTTAGCCATCTACCTTGGCCTTTTCTCTCTAGAGGCTCTAGGGCCCCTGCCCTGCCTCCCCCTCCCTCTCTTCCTCCCCTTTCCCTCCTCCCACCCCTCCATTACCGGCTGCCTAGTGCTGAATTATTGATGGCCCCTGATTACCCGGGGGTTTGGGAAATGACAACAACCGCAGCCCCCCCCCAGGCTCCCCACCCCCTCCAGGGACCAGCCAGCCCACCACCAACCTCTACCCAAGGTTAATGCTGGGGGCGGGTGGCCCGGCGGCGGGCAGGTGGGCAGGGAAGAAGCTGAGGATGAGAAGGCAGAAGTGGGAAGAGGGTGACTGCTTCAGTGTGCCTGCTCTGCCTGTGCCTGGGCTGGGCTGGCCTGGATGCCTGGGTCTGGGGAGGGCAGTGCGACTCAGAGGGTCCAGGGCTTGCGGGGGCCCTCTCAGACAGTCTGAGTTTCACTCTCCAGGGAAGACAGAAGCCTCTGTGTGTGTGAGCGCTGACCTCATCGTCAAGCAGCCACCCCACCCCTCTTGGTCCTTTTAAGAAGGGAAAAAAAAAATCTCCTAGTTCTGGGATGGGAGTAGGGGCTGTTAGGTCTTGGGGGGCAGATAGTGTCTATTCCTAAGGATGGGACTAGCAGCGCTTGCGGGAGTGCTACTGGTTCTGAATGGAAGTGAGGATTGGCAGGGGGGCTATGCCCCAGTCTGGCTGGCCATGTGTGCCCTTTCCTACCCCTCCCCCACTGGCAGCCCTGCCCGCCAGCCTGGCTTGGTGCCTGGCCCCCTGGCACTGGCCCCGGGACCCGCCGCCGACGGTTTCCTGTTTCTCCCGGTGTCGCTGGAGCAGGCTCCAGCTTCCCCTCCCCCTCCCCCAGTTCCTGTCTAGCCCCCTCACATAGACACACACTGTCTCTCTCTAGCTCAGGCCATCACTTGGTGGAGGGGAGAGGGCTTTCCCCATGGTGAGGGCGGGATAGGAGGTGGACCCCGGGATGTAACCCATAGCCTCTGACTTGGCATCCTGACCCCAGGCCACTCCCCACCTCCTGTCCCCAGGGTTTGCCTTCCCGGATTGGGCCTACAAGCCGGAGTCGTCCCCTGGCTCAAGGCAGATCCAGCTGTGGCACTTTATCTTGGAGCTGCTGCGGAAGGAGGAGTACCAGGGCGTCATCGCCTGGCAGGGGGACTACGGGGAGTTCGTCATCAAGGACCCTGACGAGGTGGCCCGGCTCTGGGGCGTCCGCAAGTGCAAGCCCCAGATGAACTATGACAAGCTGAGCCGAGCCCTGCGGTGAGGAGGGTGTTGCTATGGGCCCCTAGGGCACATGTGAACAGCCCCAATTGATTGGGAAACCCTTGACCCGTGGGAACAGGCTTTGGGTTTGACGCCTGGTTCTGCCAGATCCTAGCTGTATACCTGGGTAAGCTATAGCCATTTTTGAGACCAATGGTAACAACAGAGGTGTCCTAGAGAATGTTTGGTTTTTCTCAAGCGGCCCACATTTCTCTGGCTCCCCATCTGTGAGCGATGCCCGCGCAGTGTCGAGTTATGTAGTCTAGGTCTGAGTCCCCAGGAGTACAGAGTGATCATCCCCCCTGTGTTTCTACCTCCACAGCTATTATTACAACAAACGCATTCTGCACAAGACCAAGGGGAAACGGTTCACCTACAAGTTCAACTTCAACAAACTGGTGCTGGTTAATTACCCTTTCATCGATGTGGGGTTGGCTGGTGAGTACTGGGGATGGGTGACCCCTAGGAGGAGAGGGTCTGTCGCCCTGGGGTGAGCCAAAGGCCTTGATATCAAGTCTCCCCTCTCCTCTCAGGGGGTGCAGTGCCACAGAGTGCCCCTCCAGTGCCGTCTGGCGGAAGCCACTTCCGCTTCCCTCCCTCAACGCCCTCCGAGGTGCTGTCTCCCACTGAGGATCCCCGCTCACCACCGGCCTGCTCTTCATCTTCCTCCTCCCTCTTCTCCGCTGTGGTAGCCCGCCGTCTGGGGCGTGGCTCCGTCAGTGACTGTAGTGATGGCACATCAGAGTTGGAGGAGCCATTGGGAGAGGACCCCCGGGCACGACCACCTGGCCCTCCAGAGCTGGGGGCCTTTCGAGGGCCCCCACTGGCCCGCCTGCCCCATGACCCTGGTGTCTTCCGTGTCTATCCCAGACCCCGGGGTGGCCCTGAGCCCCTCAGCCCTTTCCCTGTGTCTCCTCTGGCTGGGCCTGGCTCTCTGCTACCCCCTCAGCTCTCACCAGCCCTGCCCATGACACCCACCCACCTGGCCTACACACCCTCGCCCACACTGAGTCCTATGTACCCCAGTGGTGGTGGTGGCCCTAGCGGCTCAGGGGGAGGCTCACACTTCTCCTTCAGCCCCGAGGACATGAAACGGTACCTGCAGGCCCATACCCAAAGCGTCTACAACTACCACCTCAGCCCCCGCGCCTTCCTGCACTACCCTGGGCTAGTGGTGCCCCAGCCCCAGCGCCCCGACAAGTGCCCACTGCCGCCCATGGCACCCGAGACCCCACCAGTCCAGTCCTCAGCCTCGTCCTCCTCTTCCTCCTCCTCTTCCCCGTTCAAGTTTAAGCTGCAGCCGCCCCCACTAGGACGCCGGCAGCGGGCAGCTGGAGAGAAGGCTCCAGGAGGCTCTGACAAGAGCAGTGGCGGCGGCGGTGCAGGCGGGCTGGCTGAGGGGGCAGGGGCACTGGTCCCGCCGCCGCCGCCACCACCACAGATCAAGGTGGAGCCTATCTCCGAAGGCGAATCAGAGGAAGTGGAGGTGACTGACATCAGTGATGAGGATGAGGAAGATGGGGAGGTGTTCAAGACACCCCGTGCCCCACCTGCACCCCCCAAGCCGGAGCCTGGCGAGGCACCTGGGGCGGCCCAGTGTATGCCCCTCAAACTGCGCTTTAAGCGGCGCTGGAGTGAAGACTGTCGCCTGGAGGGGGGTGGGGGCCCCACTGGGGGCCTTGAGGATGAGGGTGAGGACAAGAAGGTGCGAGGGGAGGGCCCTGGGGAGGCTGGGGGACCCCTCACCCCGAGGCGGGTGAGCTCAGACCTCCAGCATGCCACCGCTCAGCTCTCCCTGGAGCATCGCGATTCCTGAGGGCTGTGGTCAGGGGGCCCAGGTTCCCCCCACTCCCCATGCTTCTTTTGCTGCCTTAACCCCCCCAAAGCCTTGGAGGTGAGGGCAGCTCTTTAGTCTCCTCCCTGCCTCCTACATTTCCCCCTCCTCACATTTTGTATAAAACTTTAATTTTTTTTTTTGTTTTTAATGCTGGGGGTGGGTGGGTACCCAGGGCTGGGAACTGTTCTGGTCTCTGGGTTTCTAAGCTCGGGGTAAATTGGTGGTGGGGGGAGGGCGGGGGGAGTTAAGGGGGCCACCTCCATCCGGGGAATTTATATATGAATGAGGCTTTGGCCTTAACACCCAGGAACTTTTTTATTACAATCTCTTAGGAAGTAAAGCCTTGTCTCCCTCCCTGTTCTCTGCCTCTTGTACCTCTTCTCCCCACCCCACCCCGCCACCCTCGCCTGTGTCCCTGCCTTCCTTGCCCCTTCAGGGGCCATGAGTGCCTGGGTTTTCATACCCCACAAGGTTGCAGCAGGGGAAGGGCAATGTTAAGATGAACCAAAAATTTCGTGGTAGGGTGTGTGTGTATAGGGGGAGAGGGCGAGGGGCGCCACCCATGGGCCACAAATCTGTACAAGTGCCTGCTCGCCCTCTCCCACCCCTCACCCCAGCATCAGTCTCCCCTTTCACCCCCAGCTGCTCCTAGGACTGGCCCATGGGCAGGTGGGTGGGGGATGGGAAGGGGGTGCCCTGAAACCAAACTGGAAGCCCTCTCTGCCTCCCAGCTGGGGTCCCTGGGGTGGGGTGGGGGGCTATGGTCAAGCCTTATTCTGTGTGGGGAATGGAGGGTGGGTCGGGAAGTAGGGGGATGCTGGAGAATGTATTCAAAACAATAAAACTTTGGACCTTTGCATGCGGTGATGTGTCCTAGGCGATGGGTGCAGCCACTGCAGGGCTATAGCCTTTGCTTAACTCAGGACAGGCCTAGCCTGCCAGCCCCCACCCCCATGGATCTGTGGCTAGTGGCTAACTCCTAAATGGGTCAAAAACATCCTGGGCCAGGCATGCTTATAATCCCAGCTACTGTGGGAGGCTGAGGCAGTAGCATCACAAGTTTGAGGCCAGCCTTGGCAACTTAGGCCCTGTCTCAGAATAAAAAGGGCTGGTGTACTGCACCTGGGTTTAATTCCCAGTACCATAAGGGAAAAAAATCAGGCCAGAAAAGTGATCCTCTAACCATAGGCGTCACATAAATCCCAGAGCTTGACAGCAAGGTATCAGGTCTACTCTGGGGCTATACTTGGTTCTCTATTCTGTTGGGATCTGCGTGTCCTTGGAATCCCTGTCCTTTCCCGACCATCCCATTGCTGTTGGTGCTCTGACTGCCTGAAATACCTACCTTCGCTAGCCTTGATTTCCTAGCCACACCCAGAATTCCCAGTGAAGACCAGGAGCTTTTTTTTTTTTTTTTTTTTGCATTGCCTATAGCATCCTGTCCACGTTGCTCAACTTGGGATTCTCATTAAGCTGAGAATCCTTTGGAAACAAGGTTTGCAGTGCCTCTTGAAATGTAGACCTTGTAAGATAAGTGATTTTTCAGTCCAACCAGCAAGTTGAGAAGGATCTAGCAAGGTCCCCATTCAGCAGGTTGAGAATGATCTAGCTCATCATAGTTGGTATTGACTGACCTACTGTATGCCAAGTTAGGAGCTGTGGTCCTTTAGCTCCTTCGATATCCAAGAAAGAAGGGCAGTGGACTTAGTCAAATAAATGCTTGAGGCCCTAAACCTGACAGGACTTTAAGTGAGGTTTGCGTCGGATGTCCATGTTCTTTCCCATTCCTTTTTTTTTTGTACCGGGAATCGCACTCATGACCTCAGACTTACCAGGCAGGTACTTATGCTGCTGAGCTGTATCCCTGGCTCTCATGTTCTTTCAATGACTCGAATTTTCCTTCCTAAAGCCAAGATGGCTGGATCTACATCAGGGTCTCAAAGGATCATATGATCTGAGAGATGAACTCAAACTAGAAGCCCAGATGCAGAGTGGAATTGGGGATGAAAGAGGAGGTATGCAGGCTGGAATTGCCCTTAGAGACTAGCCCAACCCAGGCAGTGCAGGTGAGTTGCCTGAGGCCCAGAAAGGGGAAGGGGTTTCCCCGAGGCCATTCAGCTGCTTGCTCTGAGATGGGGTGGTAATTGAGGGCTCAGGGACTGTTGGATTTACTATACTATTGAACCACCCTGTGCAACACCCGAGGGGTACGGAAGGATGACTGGCAACTGCTACCCACTCACGCTTAAATCTCAGCTTGTGTCAGGCCTGGGTGGGTGGTCTCAGGTGACACTCTCAATTGGCAGTGAAGAAAGGATTTAGGGCTGGAGTACTGGCAGGAAACAGGTTCCATGGCAGCCTTTGGGCAACTGCTCCCTCTCCTGGGTGATGTAAGTCATTCTCTGGGGTGGGGGCCACCAGCCATTTCTGGAAGTTGGGATGAGGCATAGTTCCTGGCAACATAGATGCAGCGGAGTTGATAGTGGGTGATGGTGAAAGGCGATGTTATCATTGGCAGGAGGAAAGCAAGACCCCAGTGAGTAGCTGATCAGTAGCCTTAGCTGGACCCCGGGGTCTTCAAAGTGCCTTTAACCACTGTCCTTCCTCAGTGCTCAGCTCCACAACTGCTCTCCAGGTCAGATCATGGTGTCACCAAACTTGTTGTCCCAGATTCTGACTGTGTGGGATGTCGCAGGTGGCATGTGGCCTTGAAAACTCCAGCCACTCCCCCAATCTTTAATCACCCACCAAAGATCTCTTTAGTCACCAGTAATTTACCAGTCTCCCACAGAGTGTGGGAGACATTGTAAATCCTCTTGGACTTCCCCCTAAGTGCGTGTGGCCGGTCAAAGACTGTACAACTTTTATAGACTCCCCTCAGTCCTCCACATATTAGGGCCTTCTTAGAAAATTACATTTCTGATCACCCCTCTACAAATATTCACTCTCCCCCCCGCTGCACACAAGCCTGTTAAGATTTCCTCAGACTGTAGATTACAAACTCCTTGGGGTCTCCATTGGCCCGAGGCGCTGGCCCATGTGGCTCCTTGGGTTCACGGGTTCTGAAGGTTAAGTAACCATCTGCCGCCCTTGTGAGCCTTATTGGCCCCTTCTGTGATTTCCTAGGCCTTGGCACTTGACTCAGTTTACTTTTCAACTCAGAGGTGCCGTCAGAGGGCAGCAGCTACCATTTGGCTGGGCAACTACAGGTCCCAGAAGCACCCGCTCCAGAGCGGTGCGTGATGCGTAGGCTTGGCGAAGGGAGTGGAAGCGTATCGAGCTTTGCATCCTGGATAAGATAGATTGAAAGGGATTTAATGTTACCGTCTGTCTCTGTGTCCGCAGGAAATTGCAGTCAGGAGCAGTCCGATCAGACGGGACTTTTTAAGGCTTCAGAAAGGGCAGGACAATTAGTGTGAACACAAATTCAGGTTAAAATGAAGTTCACAAACTCCATTCTCGAGGCGGGACAACCTGACAGCGCTTTCATTCTAGTTCCAAGCATTTGGGGCGGCGCTCCGGGCGGAGTGTGTGTGTGTGTGTGTGTGTGTGTGTGGGTGGTGGTGGCGGTGGCGGCGGCGGCACAGAACTCTGTTTCCCAGCCCCCTTTGGGGCTGCTCTCCTTCCGGGTGTTAACGGATAAACGGGGCGACTCAGTTCGCGCACAAAGCTGAGGCTACTTGTAACCGGGCTTGTGTAGGGCTCTCCAGGATCATGGAATTTAGGAAGCGCAAGGATCCAAAAAGCTGAATGGAGGTTCAAAACAGAAATTCTGTCCCTGTCTTAGCTTCCTGTTGCCACCCACATTGCTAGAAAAAGCTAGATTGTATCCGAAGACAAGTGCTCAGAGAAACCACGGGGGACTGTGTTATTCAAACCCTTCGCAGCAGAAGGCGTTTTGTCCTTCCTGATAGGTGATTACCTGGAATTTAAATGTACTTGAATTTTTTCCCCAGTACTCACTGATTGACTTGGGCTCATTCTTTGCATCAGGGGGCGAGGAGAGAGGAGTGGAAATACTTTCTAGTCTACCCAGGGAACTCCTATCTTAATCTTCTCTCACACGCCCCCAAAGGTACCCATTGGACTCCACTTCCCAGCAGTCCTCTGAGTATAGTTTCACAAAGGGTCAGGATCTGTTCTGGACTGTTCCCAGCATGCTTTGGGCTGGTGGCAGATCCCGCCTCCTCTGTCAGTGGGGACACGGCTTTGAACTCCATTTCCCAGAAGAAACCAGGGCTTGCTGTAGCAACTACGTGGAAGCCTTGGTGTCGACTATATTTCCCGGCAGGGATTGCGGCTTCGAGTAATATAGGGTAGGTGAAGCACGATGTCTACTCTATTTACTGGCCTATTTCTGGAACTGCGGTATACATTTGGGTTTTGGGTACCACCCGGGACTCCATTTCCCGTCGTGCTTTGGAAGTCGCTTTACACCCGCA